CCCAAGGCTATGCTAACGCTTTTTGCTGTGTCTACCTTCGAGGGATGGCCAGAGTAGGTCCTATATCCGCAGCTTTGTAGACCCAATGCAACCCTCTCGGGCACATATTTCTGAGGCTATGGGTTTTCGGGCTGGAAGGCTGTCTGCACAATATCGAACGCACTCAGAGAAGTTTGTGGGCTACCTTTTATGTCACAGACCAATTCGAGATATCCTTTTCTTGAGTAGTTGTGGAGGCTCACTCATCTCCTGCATATATTATACTCGGTAGGGTATTGGTTTACATGACATTATCATCTGACATTATTTCGCCTATTGGCTTCACACAAACAAGCCTACTGGTCCGGGTTAGGTCTGATGGGATTGTCCTATAGCATGGGCTGGATAGCATATGAAGTTCGTAAGTAATTACCTTTATTCTTTTTTTTATGCCCTCCAGTATGCTTTGGCGTTCCATCGACTCTAACAAAGAGGATCACGGGCCGATCAATAATTATCGTCAGGTTGTGTCACTTTTCTACATCTCTTACATTATTGTGATCGCTTTCTTCATGGTTAACATCTTCGTCGGCTTTGTCATTGTCACGTTTCAACGTGAGGGTGAATCGGAGTACCAGAATTGCGAACTCAACAAAAATCAGGTAAGCTACACTTGCTCGAGCCTCCAGCCTTCATTATGCCCACAGCAACCGATCCGAATATTGCAATCACCCGTCCATTTGACCCTGTATGAGTATTTTATAATCAGTCATTGTTACGTGGCTTTTAGTTGTTTTTTAAAAGAAGGCTGGAAGGGTTGGTAACCTGGCCCCATCAGAACAATTGGGAGTTGTGACTACTTTTTAAACGAACTGGAAGGTGACCCAACATCAGTCCATTAAGGAATTCTTGAAACCCAGCTTCTCTTCATATTCTTCTTTATCCTCCAGATTAAAACCTGTTGTAAAGCTATCAATGATTCGCTTTTCATGGCTGGCCGTTTGCCCTAATAATGATATAAAGTTAAACTTGTTTGATTAGGCTCACTTTGGGATGGAATATTATTTATCTCATATTCGTATAAGAGTAGGGTTTCGAGACTACCAGTAAATCAGTGTAATGAGATGTATGTCGACCGATTCGAGGTCGAAACTGCAGTCCACCCTGGATGAGAATAACTTTTGGAAAAGTAAGGCTATGTGAATGTCAATGGAAAACGTCAGCTTAACTCATATCATTGTGGGAAAATTCTACTACCAGTCCTTCATCACCTTAGACGAAAAAGTGTGAATACATCTCATTATTTATATCACCAGGATGCGCTGAAAGCGTATGAATACCGCTTCACTTTCGCACACATATACATGAATATGGCCTAAGCACATATTCATTCGTCGTCACACACACACACACACACACAAGTACACATATTCACAAGTAATATTGCACAAATAGACCAAACCACAGCATACTGCTACTGACTCCACTTGGTGAGGAGTCCTTTGTGGGCTTTTCTATATGAAGAATTCATACCTGCAAAGCGCATCCACGCTTTTTTAAGGCCGCGGAAGAAGTTGCTGAAGACCGCCGACGATGGCGACTCCCAGCACAAACTAAGAACAATCTTTTCATGCTGTCTGATAAAGCGACCTTATAATTTCGCCTGAAAGATGTCTCCGAAGTGAACATGACTAATGGAACAAGGGGCTTCGTGATTGAATGATTGAGGCTCACTTTTTTGAAAGGCTAGATTTTACCAATCAAACATACAGACTTTCGTCTCTAAACCACACTTCATTCAGCGTACACGAAGAAAAAGCGCGTTTTGATGTATCTCCCCAAGGTAACATCATTATTGAGACTTTCATTTCGTATGACAGCGAATGATGAAGACATTCGTCGGTCGGTCTCGCCATAAGACGACGACTGACTACCGTCCTACTCCATTCGATTGGTTTTATTATGACTTTAAGGTTGACGCAGTCCACGAGACGTCCTCCCTCATTTCGGGTGAAAACGGAGTGAGCTTCTCGACTCAACCTTGACAGGAGACTTTTGCAGAAATGAGTCCCAGATCTGAAGATACTGGTCATATGCATGACCAAAACTCAGCCCCTTTTCACCCGAGACAAGGGCGGATGTCTCGTGAACTACGTCAACATGAAAGTAGCATTAAAGCCAAAAGGCTGCAGTAGAATGAAAATCGGCCGTTGTCTTCTGGTGAGATCAACCTACAAATTGCTTCATCATGCGTTTTCATACTTAAGGAAAGTCTCCACAACTGTTTATTCTGCTTCATTTATTCGCTCGTCACAACCCCTTAGCATCCATATGGTAACTTTCCTCACACCTCCAGTTGGCATATTTCGAAGTTGCTTCGATAGCTTGACTGCAAACTTAACTTTGGTATAGGTCAGCATGCAATTTGTTGGCAAATGCATGTCTGGCTTTTAGCCTTGTGACCAGTTCAATCATCAGCCATCGACACCATTTATATCGGTTTCGCGCAATTGCTTTATCCATAAATTGCTTTTGCCGGAAATTTTACAGTTTAGATCTTCATCTTTTTGCCAAATTGAATATCATTAGAGTTCAGCTAAACTTTGAGCATCTTTGTCCTAGAAATGATTATGGTATCAGAAGCACTCTTGGCTGTTTATTTATCCCCTCTTCAACTATTGTTGTGATCTCACCAGTAGACAGGTCGATTAATGCTACCAGAGTGTACCACTTTTGGTCATCCACAATGCAAAGAATACCCTTAAGCAAACCAACCAATTTATTTTTCCCTCCTTGACAGAGAAAATGCATAGAATACGCACTCAAGGCAAGGCCTCGTAGACGCTACATTCCAAAGGGACATTTGAGGTACAAGATTTGGTCGATGGTGGTCTCGAAGAGATTTGAAATCTTGATCTTCCTCTTCATCTTTGTGAATACCATCACCCTAATGATGAAGGTATGCTTCAATATTTATATCTTTTTATCTTTTAGTCCTTTTTTGATCATCATCTTTGTTCACGAATTTAGATACTCAATAGCCTCTGAAAGTCTTCAGAAGGCTCATCATTACATCTTTAGGTTTATTTTTAATAAAAATATTCATTGTACCCCATCATATGTTGTTATCGAAAGTGAAGCGTTTGACTCTTTACTTCTGGTCACTTCATCTTGCAGATCCTAGTCATATTTAGCTATTATCTGTTCAACTCATTCACGAAACTTTCTTTAATTTCTCCCCACCGATGTGCAAATTACTTACTGTTTGTCTTAATTTTTATCTCATACAGTACGATGGTCAAGAACAGTGGCTGGGAAATTTGCTGGATAACTCAAACTACTTCTTCACGGCTATTTTCACACTGGAGTTTATTCTAAAGCTGGCCGCTTTCAGTTTCCGGGTTGGTTTTTCCATTTTTCTCCTTTTATACGATTTTATGTTTAGGCTTTTGTTTTTTCTGCTATCTTGTCCGCATGTCCGTAATACATTATTGCCACTAGCCCGTGATTTCCGACACTTGCCTACCGGATAGTCATCCTGTATGCATTTGGTTGGTCCTGAAGGGCTGCGAAAAAAATGGGGACCTTAGCATAAATTTTCCTAATCAAATATGGAAGTAAAGTGTATTTGTTTGTTAACTTACTGCCTACCCTCGGGTTATTATATTTGCAATTTTTTTATTAAGATAACGGATTGCCATTTTATAAAAGTGCTCTTATTTATGTTTGCGTTTACTTTTATTGACTATGTTTTTTAAGCATATACTAATAATGGAAGTACATGTTGAAGAGATATATAGATGACTATTTTGTGATTTGGCAGCATGGTTAAGATAGTTTAGATAGTTTTCTATTTTCACTTAACCAGT